TCCTCCTCATTAGAGTATGTCCTACTTCAAAACTAAGGATGGGGGTTCTACAAGTAACAATGGGGGCTGTCTGAACTTTCGGAATGTTGCTGAGGAGGCAATCTTTACCAAGTGTGAAACGAGGCCAATCAAGGGATGGGACTCTTCCACTATAAGCACAAGCCACATGCCCAAGCTTCAGTTTGTTATCTCAGCAGTTTCTGAGGCTTTCAGGAGCCAAGTTAGGAATGTGGTTTGTGTTGAGTTAGGAACATAAGCCTTTCTGGGTTTTGCTGTTTTTCTTAGACACTACACACCACCCTCACCACCCCCCCACGCACACAAGTGAATATAAAATTAACAAATGTTACCAATTTTAGCAAGAATTAAAAAATTAGAATACAATCAAAAGAGTATGCATGTCGGAGGAAAGGGACCTGGCATGGAAAATCAGTGGCACTACATTTGCAGTCAGTGTCCCAGCAACTGTCCTGGGTTCTGGTGAGCAAATCACAGGCACCCTGCAATCTTTTCCATGTGGTCATTTCTGTCATTAAAAGCCCAGAGAAAGGAAATTGTAATCAAGAGTCATGGCGGAAGTTTCATTAGGAAAAGGAGAAGGGACTGTGCATGTTTGCATTGCATGTATGTACCCAGAATTCATCCATAAACATCTGTAAGCACGTTAGTCACACACCCATAACACTGCTACAGCTTTCATGTTTTTCTCCTGAGCTGTCACAATTTTAAGAGCATTAAACAAAGGAAAAGTAGGTGTTTCTCTTTGACATTGGCTATATGGCAGTGGTTCTCAAAACCAACCGTGTATCAAAATTATTGAGGAAGCTTTTTGAAAAATACAGATGTCACCCTTCTCCAGATGAACCTGTCTCCTATGATGGGTATTCGGGAATTCACAGAGTTTGGCATTTGGGGCAAGAATCATACCATTCACTTAATCACCTTTTGGTGCTTCCAGGATGGCATGCTTGCTCCTGTCTCCAAGTTGTGCCCAGAAGAAAGCCTGATATTGGGGATAAATTCTTTAAATATATTTTTTGGGGACCCTTCCAAATGCAACAATACTTCCATTCAGCACGTATCAAGAAGATGAGCTTAGGGTTCTGGTGCAGGGGCAGGGGTGGGGTGGGGAGAGACACACCGCACATCCTCTGAGATGTTTTTTGACAGAGCTGGAACTTCCAAAGAGAAGGAGAGCCCTCTTTCCCCAAGCCATTCCCTCACTTCACCCCAAGTAAAACTAATAAAAGCTAACTTTTATGGCAGTCTTTGTATGGACCAGGCACCACACAGCTGGGTGCTTTCATTTAATTGCTACAAGCTTATAGGTGGAGCTGTTGTTGCCCCATTTGGCAGATGAGAGAACTGAGGTGTGTCTACTATTACAAAGTAACAAGGGACAGAGCTGGAAACAAACCAAGGTTGGCATACTCAGAAGCCTAGGTGCTTCCAAGTGCATTTTCTAACCAATACTGTCATGTGGCCTGCACAATACAAGGAAAGTCAGTAGAAGGAGAGAGAATTCTATTTAATTTGCACATTAATTTTACAACCAAATAGGGGGCGTTTCTTGCCATAATGGGCTGCTGCCAGTGGTTGGGAAAGAGAGGAAACAGGAGAAAACACAGGCCAAACATGTGGAAATATGTATGTTGCCTCTTTGTTCTCATGATACCAATTGACTTCTAGTGGAGGATTGAAATAATTGCTTAATTTGGGTGATTAAGGTGCCAAGGGTTGCCTCCTTTTTTTGCACCAACTACAATGAAGAACAATGTGACATCTAAGACGCAGTGTTCACAGCATTCTCTAATCCTCCACTCAAATTTTACTCCTCACAAAAGTCCTCCGCGTTCTCTGACACTAATGGGAAATGTATTCACAGGGCTGGGAGGGGAGGCTAAAAGAGATGCTCTGCTCAGTTCTCATCAAAGCCTTCTCCACGTGCAAGTACGTCTTCTGCATTTACAGAAAACTCTGCTTTTTTTGCCCCCTTTTCCAGTCACTTCCACATTAATTAGTAAGGGTATCATTTTATAAATTACAGCTTCGTATCAGAGGAAAGCAGAGTTTATCTTAATTCAGTCAGCTGTGTGAAATACAGTACCCTAATTTTAGACCGCCGGTACCACAGATCCCTAAGGAGTAAGAGAATGACAGGTCTTCCGGAGAGAAATCCCAACGGGTCCCCTACAAGTCTCACTTTTGCCTCCCACAGCATCCCTAGTGGGTCTTGCTGAAGGGATCCCAGGACACTGAGTGGCATCTTTTCCGCCATTAGCAATTCAGATTTGAATGCGAATCCTCCAAGCAGCAGATGAAAGCAGCCCTGGTTAGCTCTGGGGCTCCAAGGGGGGGGGGTCCAGGAAAGAGGCCCTGGCACAGAGGAGGATGACAAGGGCCCAGTCAACGACATGGAGCAGAAGTCTGGGAGGATGGTGTTAAAATCGGTGATAAACACCAGGCGTTCTCAGTCCAAAAGGGGAAGCCTGGCAGTCTTAACTATAACAGGGCCAAGGAGACACGGCAGCAATTACAGAGTCTTGATTGCTCCTGCTGGAAGCCCTCTGGAGAAATGCCGGGTGTCGGGGCAGGGACAGCTGATATGAGTATGATTGTGAAGCGGCCCCAAAGAAGAGGACCTGCAGGGCCCCTATAGTCCACAGGAAAAATCGTAAGTGTGTACACATCTGAGGAACACTCTTAATGCCTCTCCTTTCCCTGCTCTGCACCCCTATAAATATCTCTTTATTCTCCTTTATTGCCTGAAATCACCACACACTCTGAGTGGTGGATGCTGGCTACCTTCCCATGGACCATTACTTCAGTCAGACATTTTGCTGCTTCCTGCACTCAGAGATGGAAAACTCAGCAACAATGACTCTCAAATCAGGGCCCAGGAAAACTAAGGGGGTGCTCTTATTATGCAGAAAAAAGCTTGGCTTTCAGACCCTTCTGACAAAAGGGGGAAGCTCTCCTGTAGAAATTACTAGAGTTAGGCGGTCAATCGAGACAAGTAGTACTAGATACCTACAGAGATTCTGAGGTAACTGGCCTGAGATGAGGTCTGGCATCAGGAGTTTTCTAGCTCGTGGGAGTCTCAGATACGCAGCCAAAGTTAAAACAACTGAACTAAAGCCTCCTACACAAAATGCCAAATTGGGCATCCTTATCATCTCCTACCAGTGCTGGGGACAGGGTGGTACCTCCGGAGTTCACACTGCCTTTTGTTTTATACAAACAATGCAATGTCTGGCAGGCTGTGAAACTCAGAAGACTCATCATCCCCTTGGAGAAGACCACTGACTTGAAAGTGAGATCAGCTGTCACTTGTCAGAGCTTTCCTGAAATGTCCAGTTCCTCTGGAGTAAGGTGACATCTGCTACGTGGAAATGTGGCCTGTGTGGTTCTAGAAGCCAAGGAGTGTTCAAGGAGTGTACACCTTGAACACTCATCGACTCCTGCTGGCCACATACCTCTGGCACCCATTACGCCCTCGCTGGCTGCGACACCAGGGGACCCATTTCCAAGGAGCTAAGGCTTCCTGGGGCTGGAGGAAGGAAGTTCCTACTTGTCAGTTAAACAAAAGAATTATCCACAGCCCCCTTTCCAGTGTGTACTTTCGCTGTCATCCAACAGCCCATTACCATGTCACAGCACAGCGTGCCCTTCCATAGGTCACTTTGTTTAAAATGACATGGATAATGCACATGTCAGCAAGCTGACAGTCCTGGCCGTCCTTCAGAGATAAAAACCTCAAGGCGAGAGCCTGTTCTTATCTGGGGGACATGCATTGGTCTATCATCCAAGTCAGGCAGAACATGATTTCTCCAGAGAGCACTTTTTTCATTTCCTGATTTTAAGGAAATCAAATAAGCACCATTTGTCTTCATCTGAATATGCTTGACCTGCTCAAATGATGATGTCTCGCATTTTATAACAGGCTACATATGCTGAATTCAAATTAACGACAGTACAGAACAAGAGCCTTTAGATCTCTCTTGGAGGCTGGCAGTGGAGGAGGGAAAATTCTGGGCTGGATGGAAAGATCCCACTAAGTAGTAACCACAGGATTCTGAGTAAGATCTGCAAGAATGAAAGAGGTGAAAGAGAGGAGGGATCAGGAGAGCCAGCTGTGCAGGGATATCCAGGAACCAGGGAAGAAGGGACTCGTCCCTTTCTTCTGATGCCAAGTAATACAGAAATCATGGTATTCAGGTAACTTTAGAAATACATAAAGACAAAACCAGAAAGAAATTTAGTTTGGGGATTGCAAAATCTCGAAGGAGAGACCAAACAGACCAACGATTCCTTGGCAGCAGAGACTGACTTTACCAGGTTGTGATCCAATCTTCTGAAAACTCAAAAAATTTGAACTCTTTCTTGATCCACGTTGAACTGGATACACAGAGGCTGGTGGCCATCAGCCTTGAACCAGAGTATGTACCTGCTAGAAGAACTTCCCTCCCACCAGGCCACCCACCTGGTTGAGGGGAGAATGATTCCCATTTGAATTCCCCTCGACACCCCTCTACCCTTGATGAGTCTTGTGTACACATATTACTAACATTTCTATCAAGAAGGACCATGTGCATAGAAAAGCAGGAAGAAGCACATGGATCAGTAAAAGAAATGAAAAAGTGACATTATAAATACATACTAGCAAGGTTACTGTTCAAGTTATAGGCCGATGAAGAAAAATCAGATAGCAGTTAAAATAGAAATCATTTTCTCCTTTAAAACCTTTTCTAATGTAAAAACTTAGTGTCATATGTATGCAATACCAAAGGGCTTGCTTAAAAAAGTGGACATCACAAATGAAACCTGTTATTTCTTATCAGAAAAATGTCACACTGTGAATTAAGGCTATCTTTCCAGAAGGAAAAAAAAAAGTGCTGTTCCCATGAAGCGGGCACCCCACCAACCTGCAGCTGTGTATGGACAACCAAGATGTTCACAGTGTGATATGCACGTGCCCACAATGTGGGGAGGGGTCTTACCTTCTCTTCTTGGTCACTGTCGCTGTCACACTGAAAGAGAAGACAAGAGAATGAGGGTTAGTACAAAACCTGAATAGGTTTTTGCTCTTAATACAGAAGGACAAGTAAAGGGAATGGGAAATGCTGTCTGAGCGGAAATGAGCTTCTTCAGCTCCAGCACTGGCAAACACAACTAGAAGCGAAATATACTGACAAGTTGCTCTGTAGATTTCATCTCTGTGGCTCTTCCGATGGTCAGTTCAGAAAGGCACCTGAACACACTAGTGAGTATGTCCACTGCGTGGAAGAGGGATGACCTCTGAGGAGCCAACTGGCCACAGGATTAAGGTGAATCAAAATCATTCCATGGTATTCAGAGCAAAAATCATTTTAATAGAAAGATTCTACCTCAGCTAATGTGAGTGGTGGTATGATGCTTTTCTAGAGGAAAAGTGGTAAACCTCTGGGTTTACCAATCCAAATGCATGCTGTCATTTGGATTCTGAGGGAAACAGAACATAATGGGCAAGGCTTCACCCCTTATAAGGGGTGTCTTTTCTGGGATTTAGATCTCCAAGGAAAAGAGGGTATGTTCTTCAGAGAAAACATAGCAAGGGCAAGATGGCAGTGAAATAAATCATTAAAATGGGCCCAAACAAAGTCAGTAGACTCACAGTATATCAAACAGATCCCACATTCCAACTACTGAGCTGGGTTTAGGTTAACCTGAGAATGATGGTTGGTTCTGATGGATTCTTTATCAAAAATAAAGGGGGGGGGGATGATTTTTTTTTTTTTTTAAACAAGAATGTTTTGTTATCCAGTATGTAAAGCTTGGAAAAGTGGATGTGTCTTGTTAAGAGTAAATGTTTATAGATAAATATATCCATTTATTTACTCAACAGTCCCTGATAAGCGCTGCTGAGCTAGACAGATGTTCAATCAAGCAAAACCCTAAAGTAGCTTTCAGTTTAGCAGTGGAGATAACAAGGACACAAACACTGAGCAGGGGTGTGCAGGATCAGAGCTATAATCCATCAAGAGAAGTCTCCCTGTGGGGTGGAGGAAAGACAGTGCATTTTGGGGAAAGAGACATGTCATGGAAGACCACATTGGCAACTGTGACACTGTCTAAGTCACCATGGTATCTGGTTGACAAAGGGAGGGTAAAGCAATTCCAAAGGCCAAACCTATTAGGACATGATAACACAGGGATATGGGGGAGCAAGTGAGAGGGATGAATCTAGGATGATACCAGCATTTTTTAGTGTGGCCACCTGGACACAGGAATCTGTGTAGCTAAGAACAGAAACATAATACAAGTTTGCTTATACAGCAGTCACTGCTGGTTTGGTACCACAGCCATTCACCACCCCCTGATCCCTAGTCGGCACTTTTTCCTGAGGTTGAAAACCAGATATTCCCTGTCAACTTAACCATAGCTAAGGGTGGCCATATATCTCATGTTTGGCTATGAACTGTCTCCTGAAGTTCCTGGAAAAATATTTCTCTTCATAAAAGGAGGAAAGAAGTGCTTGGCTCTAGCCTTTGAATGTGACTATACGAGGATGTGGTGTCCAGATCTGGCGGCAGCCATTTTGCAAAAACAAGGCAAAAAGTTTTGGTATAAAAACAAGATAGTGGGGCCAAGGCAAGAAAATGGTTGGCCAAGACAGCCACTTGATCCTACCTCAGAGCAGCCTGCCTCTGTGCTTTTTTTGGTCAGACAACAGTAAGTTTCTTCATTGCTAAAACCACTGTTAGAGTGCTTTCCACTGCAAGTGACAAAACCCTAACCAAATGGACACAATTTGGGAACTATAGCTCTTTCTGGACTAGGTTTCCTCTGTACTATATACATGTAGGAATTCACACTGCAACTTGATGAACTGGAGGGCTGTACCATTTTCGACTTTTTCCATTAGCTCCTCAAGGCCACAGGGTTACCAGATTTTTAGTGACAGTGCTTTGATCAAGCTTTCAACCTCAGATTAACTAAACCTACATTCTTTTGCCTGATGAGCAATTTCTTTGTTATAATCAGTCAAACAAGCTGAGAAAGAAAATGGGTGAGATAAAGACTTTGAAGGCCTGGAACAGGCTGAGGAGGAACGAGAGCTCTCTGAACTGCGCAGTTTCTTCATTGCCTTTAATTAAGTTTTCTTAGGTTCCTAAGTTCCAGGCACATTTTCAAGAGTCACAAAGCATGATACAGGAAAGGTGTGGAAGACAGAGAGTATTTTGCCAGGCAGGTATATTTTCCCAGATGTTCACAGCTTGCCTTGTGAAGCGATCAGTGGCAGCTGAAGGCTATGCCATAGCATTTGCGCACATTCCCAAGGGCTGGGATTCAGGGGATCAAAGGAATAGGGAAGTTGGGAAAGAACCACAACTGTCCAAGCCTCTATCCCCACCCCCATTCCTAACAGCAGTATGTCCCTGGGAATGGTTATTTCTATCAAAGTGTTAAGCTTCCTGCTTTCCAACAGTCCAGTTCTAATTTCAAGGTCCACTTAATTCTGCATCAAGTAATTACTGATATACCCAGAAGCACCTTGTCTCCAGAGTTAAGCATATGGTGAAGAACTGAGACCTACTGGTATCCATTATGGAAGCAGCACGGATGCCAAGCCGATTAAAAATGCTCAGGCTCCCCACACAACACACCCGGTGAGTGACAGCTCCTCGACAAGGCCAGTCGCAGAGTCTGCCAAAACAGTCTCTGCTGCACTGGGGCCCACATGGTGCGCTGAGAAAACAGTTCCATTTCTGGTATTAAATTCCCATACTGACCCGAGGACTTTGCCGTGAGCTCAGCAGGAGCGCACCATCCAATTTACAGCTCTGCTCTCTGGAGCCTCGAGTGCCAGCCCCTGGCAGAGACGAATGATGGTCAACCCCTCCAGCTCATAAATTATGCAAAGGCAATAAATGCACTCAGCAAACAGCGCCTAACGTTTGCCTAGCCTGGCTCCTAACACACTCTGTAAAAAGCCAGAAGCTCGACACATACAAGAGGTCTATTCCACTCATAAAGGGGGTTTGTTGACAACCCCAGACGGAAGGCGAGCCACAGTCCTAAGGAGTCTTTCTGCTTCGCTGGCAGCAGTTTATGGGCCTGCTTTATGAAAAAGGGAGGTTGTTTTATAGAGTCAGTGTGGGTAGAATTCATGATCTCAAATTCACATTTAATACACTGAATGGCTTTCACACCCTAAGTTCAATACGTTGTACATTCTTGGCCAAATGATTCTTGGTCTTGAAAGGTTAAAAGAAGAAGTGTCTGCCTCCCAATCCCCAGATACCCACTCCAATTTATAAGAGTTCACATCGAGCTACCTCCTGATTCAGGTTTCTGTTCTACATGAGGCTGGGAAATGGAAAAGGCATGTCAAATGCAGAAACAGGGTCCCAGCTGATTTGACCATTTTAAGCATTTTGACATTGGGGTCCTGCATTGGTTTATTAGCAAACAGGTTGCACACTAACAACCAGCTTGAGGTGACAGAGTACTTTCCATGACTAGATTTCAAAGCCCTTTGTGAAAAGCTGGGAATATGTTCCTCCATTTTAAAAGGAAGCAAGAAAAGGAAGAACTATCTTTCTCCTCCCATTTCACATTATTGATGCTACCTCCTAAATTTTTTCCTTCTCAATGGCCATAGTTGCTGTTTTAGCTTTAGTTGGAACTCTTATTTTATCATTACAAAAGGTTAAAGACTGCTTTCCAGGGTCTATAGTCTCTTCCTTTTCTATACTAAATCCCCACTGATCAAAGAAGATATCCTAAATTTCAGCTTGATCCTAACACTTTCCATGGTCCATATGACAACAAACACTCTGATACTACTGATATCTGATACTACTTCCAGGAAGAATTCTTGGTCACTCAGCCTTCAGATAGACAAGACCTAAACCCACCACAGACAAAGGAGGGACACAGGAGACATGCAATCCAAGTCACATGCCTAGAATTTAGAATTAGAAAGGCTATAGTTCCCAAGGTGAGTCCCTCTAGTCATCCTCACATATCACTGTTCAACTTCACTTTCACCTTCTCTTCCCTAGTTTCATAGATTAGAAGTGAGTCTTTGGAAGCATCTTCTTCCTCACCCAGAAATGCTCTACTTTTTAAGCTCTCCAAACAAGCAATTCAACTACCTAGTATTTTCTCCTCTTAAAAAGTGATACATATTTATTGAATACATTTTTTTTTAAATTACCCATCCATGAATAAACACTGTTAACACATTTGTATAAATCTTCACAGTCTTTTCTTTCAAGGAAACATATATAATCCTCTCCAGTCTGCACACACATATTTTCAAAAACATAAATTAATTTCTACTATTTGGTAACCTGCTTTTGTTTGTACACAATATGGCAAATATTTAATTCAATGAGTACAGTTTGTCCTGTAATACTTTTAAGGAAAAAAAAAAAGAGGCTGCAGTATAATTCCATACATGGTTTATAAATAATCTGGTAAAAAAATTTCTCCAGAGGTGGGGATTTAGACTGTTTCACTTGAACACCCTGGAATCTTTCCCTGTACACATTTACCATTAATACCCTTCCCGAGCATCTTTTCATGGTCCTTCCTTTTCTACAAATTCTTTAATGTCACTGCCTCCCCAGAGTTGCATTTGCAGTTCTATTGTTTCTATGTGTTTTCCACGGGAGTCCTTAAAGATTCCCTTGGTTTCAGCTACCATTTTATGTTGAGATGAAAAAATTGCTAGTGATGTGACTTGGAGAATTTAAACTTTCTACATCTCAGTTAGTGAGCTAGCACACGTAGACAACTTAATGCCCCATGGTAGAGTATGCACAGACAATAAATGTTAATTGCATGTTTGGGCTTGTATTTTCTGAAGTCCCACAAATATCTCAGACTCAAGTATCCTTCTATAGTTGGAAAGATCACCTTTGTTTTCCCCAAATCTGACCCTCTCCCATGCTGTTCTTGGTAAAGGCATCATCATGCAATCTGGTGATCCTTGACACCATCCTTGAACAGACTGATCTTTCTCCCTCCCATTTCACATTAT